ATTATTCCTAGGTAAAATTAATATTAAAGTTAATTAAGTTTCTTGGAATGATGTTATTGATGAGTATTAATGTGAGATTCTTTGGTTTATAGGGAGTAAATACTTTATGTAATCCATGATTTCTAGAGTGTTTAAATACAAAGATGTAATCATGTTTTTAATTTGACAAATAATAAATAGAAGTGAGGTTTCTAAGTTTCTTGAAAAATTCTTTATTATCAAATTGGTATTAGAGCTATTAGGGAAAACTTTGTTCATCAAGAGTATTTAGGGTTTGTTGGATTGTTTGTGAGAAGAACTAAGATTTTTCGGGAGAACTGAGAGTTTCTAAGGGAGAGCTAAAATTTTAGTGTTGAGTGTTTAAAAAGTGAGATGATTAATCTGACAAATGTTGTTGTGGTTATGCTCCGACTGACTAAGGATGTCAATTATGATAAATAAAATATTTAAATGAAGGCTCTCCTCAAAGTCCAAGTTGTTTGGAAGATGGTGGAGGAAGGTTTTGAATAACCTGAGACCATGGAAGGATTAACAGTGCAACTTTATTTTTGTTATTTCGAGTTGCAGAAGATTTTGACTTTGAGAAAATTGTAAGAGTCACATTGACATCCGATGTGTGAGACGTGTTGAAGAAGTAGCACAAAAAAGTTGTCCAAGTCACACAGATTCGGCGTAAGACACTTCGAAGCGAGATGAAGAACATGAAGATGAAGGAATTGAATTTTTTTTTTGAATATGTCTTGCGTATTAAAAATGTGGAAAAACAGCTTAATCAGAACAGAGAGGTATTTTCCATAAAATAGATAATTGAAAAGATTTGGAGGTCTTTGGCAAAATCTTTTAACAACGTGGTGTGTGCGATTGAACAAGCGAAGAATTTGTCCAATCTTTTTCAATAAAAGGATTGATCGAATCTCTTGAAGCCTATGAACATCGAATTGAGAAAGAGAAGAAGGACAAGAATATGCGTGCGGAATTGCTCCAAAACACGAGTACACACATGCAAAACTGCTCCAGAACACGACGATAATGCACTATATTATCAGAATAATAGAGGAAGCGTACGTGATGGTCGGTCCCAAAGTAGCTGAGCTGGACAAGTTGGATTCGGTGATTAAGGTGATGAGAAGGAAGATGAGACTCAATAAAATTGACGAAGTAGTGGATTGAGAGGAAGCCGGTCAAAGAACCACTCAGATGTCGAGTGTTTTAAGTGTGACAAGTATAGTCATTACGCAAGAGATTGTTATTCGAGAAGATGTTTCAACTGTGGAAATGAGGGACATTTCGACAAAGAATGTTAAAAGGAAGGTGAGACCTATCTTGTAGAGGAGAAGGAAACTAGAATAACACTATTGATGACTGATCTCAACACGGGAATTTGCAGTGAAGGAGTTTGGGTCAATATTGATCAATGCTCGTTATGATATCTGGATACGGGTGCAGGTAATGAGATGTATGGGGACAAACACTTATTCAGGAAATTGGATAAATATGATGGTGATCACGTTTCTTTTGGAGATGCTTCGAGGATCTCGGTAAAAGGCCAATGACTGTCTGTTTCATGCAAAAGAATGACCTAGTCGGGTAAATTCAATATGTACTTTATCCCGATCTCAAAAGTAACATTTTGAGTATGAGACAATTGATGGAGAAGAGATACTCAGTTTTCATGAAAGATCGAGTACTCCTGTTGAAGAATAAGTTTGGAAGATTGATGGCCTGAGTAGAGATGGGGAAAAAGGGGTGTCAATATGGGTTCTAACCCGTGAGCCAACCCGCCTCACTACGGGTTCGAGCCGGGTTGGGTTTGATTATTTTTATTTTTACCGATTATGGGTTAAAAATGAACCTAACTCACTTAACCCATGAGTTAAATGGGTTCGAGTCGGGTTATGGTGGGTTGACCCGTAACCCACTATTAATTTTAAATTTTAAAAATAATTATAATAACATACTAACCCTAATTAATAATTTATTTTAAATTTTAAAAATAATTATAATACTTTAGTAACCCTAATTGATGTTATCTTGTCTCACTTAAACCTTACATTGTTGGTTGCCGCCACAAGCTAAACCCTCACTTAAACTTGTTATCAGTTGTTTGCTGCACCACTACGTTTGTCGCTGCACTTGGGTCACTTGTCTTATCATCTATCCACCATACCACTACACCACTATGTTCATTGTATTGCTTTCAAAGGTAAGAATTTGTACCATAACCTAAACGATTGGATTGATGAATCTTTATTTGAAAACTGTAACATTTATACATTATTTGTTGTTTGTTATTGATTTATACGTATATCTCTTTAATATATGAATTTTTGACTTCTTTCTTTCAAATTAATTTACAATATGGAATTTGAAACAATACATCAAAGTGTTAATGTAAATTGTATTGGTGATGATTTTATTATTAATGAAAAACCCAATGAGCCAATTCCAGTTAATAACGAAGATACTGATATTGAGAAAAAAAAAAGAAGAAAACAAAAGTTTCTACGTCCAAAGTTTCTATATCATTTAAAAAATTAAAAAATATATGGGTTAGTGAGCCAACCCACCTAACCCACCAATTCGTAGTGGGTTGAGTCAGGTTGTAAAATTTTTGGCTCGCCAAAAAGTGAACCAGGTTGAGCTCACCTATTTTCAGCTCAACCCGTGATGAACCAACCCGTGTGAGTCGGGTTGACTCACTTTGACACCCCTAGGAAAAACATAATGCACAGGTTAGAATTGAGAATCATTCGGGAGAGGAGTCTGAGATCATAGGACATGTTGAAGGTAAATCACCAATATGCTCACATGCATTTTTGTGGTTTAACAGAGTTGGTTCATGATGAGAATCATGATATTGTCTGAGTTGGTGATGCAAGTGAAAGAGACCGAGTATGACAAGTTGTTGCACCTGTAGTTGTTGCTAAATCAGAAAGAGACCGAGCTGATGTGCCACCATTTGTTGTCAGATTGGAAACCAAGAAGGAAGAGATAACCATGAAGAGTGTGTTGCTCGGATTGCTGAGCACGGAAGGAAAAGTTTGTGAAGGTGTGGTGCTCAGAATGTCGAGTATAAAGGAGAGAGTTTGCGAAAGAGTTATTGGTAACAAGATGATGACCCCACTTCAAAGAAAAGTCAAAGAAAATATTTGAGCTATTATAGATAAGAAGGGTCAAGTTGGAGAACGTTATGGTCGATATATTGGCATGAAGCAAGTGTTTAAGAAAGATGAAAGATATGACCGAATTGTTGGTGTGAAACAGGTGAATGTGAAGTTGAAATTTTTGAATTGTGTGCCGAAGGAAGTGTATGTTGAACAACCACTCGGATATGTAAAGAAAGGCGAGGAAGTGTCAGAAATATGTTTGTCCCAAGAGATGTATGCAATGGAGATTCTAAATAAGTTCAAGATGACCGATTGCAATTCAGTATCAGACCCCATGGAATTAGGTACGAAGAGGTCGAACAATTATTGACATGTTGGGTACTGGTGTGGAGATCAGGATAAAAGATGGAAGGAACCTGGAGTGAAGAAGATGACACCAGGGGCGGAGGCACGAATTTATTTTCATGGGGCCAAAACTTTAGTTAATGGGAAGCCGAATTTAAAGAAGACCGGATTAAGACTTTTATTCATTCTTAACTTTAAACAAAATGGAAGTATTGCAATAAATAAAAATGTAAACTTACCTTTTCAAAGTGGATGAGGTTGAATTGAAAGAGCCAAACGGTGGAGCAAAGCCAGCCAATGAAGAAGATTTTTGTTCCTTCTTGTAATGGTTGAGTTTTGAAATGTGAGAGATTAAAGTTTTTTAGTCTGAAGAAGAAGCAAAACAAGTGTTCTTTGTTTTGAAGAGAGAGAAAATAGCAAACTTGTCAAACAAGCCGGGTCTTGTATTTATTTTTTAATAAAAAAAATTGAGAAAGTGAGTTGCTTTTGTATTTGACGGAAGTGACTCAATAATATATAACAGAGAGAAATTAACATATCGTGGGATAGTATATCATGGGGGGCCAATATTTTTTAATTTATTCATAGTATTCACAAAAATTACTAAAGTTTGAGGTGGTCATGATCCCACCATACCACCCTTTCTCTCTGCTTCTAGATGACATGTAATCGGTTAGTAGGAAACTTGAATGTTTAGAGCCCGAGGTATTTTGAAAGCTAAGAAGTTTTGAAGTCGATAATTAGATTATCTGAACCAAGCTGATCTTGAAGTTTTGAAGTTGAAGACTAGTCGAAAATTGGGAGGTCGGGATGAAATTGATCTAAATTTTTTTTCTTTAATACAGGGAATTAATTCTACGACGTAGTTTTGTTAGGTAAAATTAATATTAAAATTAATTAGGTTTTATTAGAATGTCTCTTGGTGTTTAAACATTGTCTATTTAATATTAGAAACTTTTTTGGACATTTAGGAAATGATGAACATTAATATGAGACTCTTTTTGTTTTTAGGAGTAAATGTTTAATGTAACCAAGAGTCTTAGTGTTTAAATATATATATATATATATATGACGGAGAAATTATTTGGCATCAATTATTCTCCATCGAATCATATCATGAGAGAGGGGTGAACTGGGCAATTTTGAACAAAAATAATGTAATAATCTATAATAAAACATATATAGAAATAAAGTAAAACAAAAGAACAAAGGTATAATTGGAAGTTCCTATCCTATAGTGAAGATGAGAGTAGCACCACAAATAAGACTCATTGAAGGAAGGCGAATGTAAAGGGAACAAAGAAAATGGATTCCAAAATTTGGAAGAAAAAATTAGAAGCATTTTTCACAAAGAGAAACAACCAACACAAGAACAATTAAGATAACAATCAAAACTTAGAAAGTAAATCGAAACTGATGGGTAGGGTACACATTGAGTTAATTTAAGTAACAAGCTACGTGAAAATATTAAAGCTTACATTACCTCAAAGAAGCAAAAATTGAACAATAATAAAATATAGTAGCAAATCTTCCAGTAAACAATAAATATCACGAGGGATTTCTAGCAGGCACGAGATTTTGCTCAAACTGACTACATAAAACCGACCATTTATAAGCCACCTCAAACAATTCTTGTCGAACTTTCCTTTGATCTTCCACTGTTTGAGATTTGTCTTTCCTCACATTTTCAAGTTCCTTTTTGTATCCTACGGTTTCCGTAATGCATTTATTTTTTTCTTCTTCAAGGGATGATAAGGCAGCCTCGCAAACTTTTATTTCTTCCTTCAACCTAATCACTTGTTCCTTCAAAATTATTTCCTTCTGTTTAGCTTCATCCATGAAATGCCCTGCCTCAGAAATTTTGGAAAAGAGAGTAATGGCCACCTCATTCTGACGAGTTTCAAGTACAGTAAACTTGTCAGTAGTAGCAAAGCCTTGTTTGAAGGAACGTATAATGCTTGGGAACTCTTGGTGCATAGAGTCTATAACATCTTTCAGTCCATCTGATAGTGTTACATCCTTAAAAGGAAGGTTGGACAGAAATTTAAGAGCAGTCAAAACGTGAAGGGTGTTAGTCTCAGAGCTAACTATGTCCTTCAGAGACATCTTCAGATACTTTTCTAGATCGACAAGGGTCTTTCCAACTCGGTTATCTTCACCCTCTCCCACAGTCAGAGATGAAAATAACCTAATGATATCATTGTCCCCAAAGCCTTGAACAATTTTAGGATGACCTTCACTTTCACTCTGGGAAGGATAAGGGGAAAATATACCAGAAAAGAAGTTAGCATCAAGCCATAATAGTTGCAAAGCATTGAGTTTCCAAGTACAATTTTGGATAAAACCGTAGAAGTGCAAGAAATAGACGTTAAACTGCGAGTGTGATGGTAACAAATTCATTAAATTAATATTCCAAGTTTAAATTCAGTACTTCATATTTTTTATGTTGACCAAATATGTTGGAAATGTGAATTGCATAAAAAAAAACTTACATGTGGATGTGATTCGGAATGCACTGATGAAGCTGCCATATTGGTGTTCTTTGCTATGGTTTCACCTACAGCAACTCGTTTAATATTCTGCACAAGAACAAAAGATATGTAGCTTTGGTGTATGCGTTTCCATTTTGAAAATAACAATAAGCATATCAACAAGTGCCTTTTAAAGAGGTTGATGTTGGCGATGAGTTCCTCGTCTCTGAATTACTGAGTAAAACAGCCTTTAAAACTAATTTATGAACAGATTAATTTTTTTTTTAAAGAAGTTACGTTCTACAAATTAACTTGTGTATAATTTTGGTTGATTGAGAATTTTTTTTTTTTCTTATCAAAGTCAAGATAGTCCAGACAGATCTGACTTACACTACGTATCACAATTAGAAAATAAGTTGCAGATTTCGATATCTAAGAACTACTACTAGGATTATCATCCATGGGAAGTGGACCTGCATATTAATTTTAAATAATTGATGTTACTGTTGTTTGTCATTTACCGAAGGAATTTCAGAGGCACTTACAATTTCTCCAAGTGGCTTTTGATGGTTCATCAAACACGGTTCATTACCCCATTGTTTGTCCAGCAACCCCTAAACAAAGTATTGAACAGGTGTGAAATCACTATAGTCTCAATACTCAGATAAATATTTATTAGACTCACATTTGAGTGTGTTTCACGTAGAGGAATATTCAAATAACTTGTAGATGGCCCATCAACTGGTTGTGAGTTTTTTAATAAAGTGTCTATCCTTGGTATTTCTGAAGTGGAAGCTTTTGCACCATACTCCTTCACTGGTTCTTCATGTCTCAGAGCCACAATGCAGTCATTAGAAACATCACCAATCTCACCTTCTTTATCAATCAAGTTAGAACCTTCTTGGAAGTTACTGTTAACATTCTGGATCTTTAGGTATGGAGAAGTTTCGATCCTGTTTTCATTGCACACATCAACTTGTTCAACAACCTGGGAATATGGTACCATATCTGCACCACTAGACCTGTGTAAAAGGCTTCCTTTGTTATTCATCTCAAAGAACAGAAATTGATGGAATCAATCTTGTCAGAGTCGAAAATAGCACTAAAATGTATATCTGAAGAGAAACAGAAAATCCACACAGCCACAACATAGAGACAGAACTTCCAATTCACAAAAAACCGAAACATTTTATCTGGGCATCAATAAAGTCATCAAGACTCTTAATTTCGTTCATTCTTTACATATTCTTGGAGTTAAATGATCATACCTTTTACAATTCTCATCTATTTGTCCCTGTGCAATGTCCTCTCCCAGCTCAGGATCCCTAGCCACAACACGTTGACGCATTTCATCTACCCACGAACACTCAAATCCAATTTCAATAGCTTCATCGCATAGTTTATGGAACTTTTTTTCTTTTTGAGGAATAACACTATCGACAATTTCATTATGAAGGAAACACAACATATCTGCCAAAATTTTCAACCTCCAAGCTTGAAAGCGCTCACTAAACTTTTCACAAGCATTCCAAAGATGAGGATATGTTGTTATTGCCTCTACCAGCAGAGCAATTTGTGTATCATCCAGATCAACAAATTGTTTATATGCTCCCAATCTTGTACGGATATCTTTAGAAGCTGCAAAAAGTTTGAGAGGTTGATATATTTAAATATATGATGGAAACGAGAAAATAAAAAATCAATAACCTGGAGAAGTATCAATGATGTTGTTAGAAACAGTCTCTATTCCCCGTTGTTTACCCAATAAGTTCAACCCTTCTTGTACTTGGATTTCTTGGCTTGGCATTACCCTTGTCGTGCCTTCATTCATCTTATCATCTTGTTCAACAACCTTAGAATCATGTGCAAGTATGTCCAGGCCACTAGATTCGATATAAGTTGCAGCACCATCTCTGAAGCTAATGTCTTCAACACCAGCTGACAAAGATTTTGTCTTAGCTCCCTCTGCTGCAGGCCCCTCTTTAATGTTCTCATTTCCTAATTCCCCAATCTCCTGTGTATCACAAATTCAAAAGAATATGATTGAGTGAGGATCTCTAAAATTATAGCTTTGAAAGGACCACTGTCATAATTTGAGCGATTTTTAGTGGTTCGTTACTATTGTTTCTTCCAGTGCCTTTTTCTCCGGAAAGCCTCCTTCACTATTTGATTCCTAATACACTCACTTTCATTGGAAATATTGAACAAGCAAGGTACGAATTATTGAACTTATATGCTAAGATATTTTATGTAGAGGTGTTGCCATACAAATTAGAGGTGGGCTTTTAAATTCTAAAACAGAAGTTGGTATTGCTAGTCTCACTGATGCTAGAACTTTTCCAATAAATGTTGTCTATTCTAAAGCTACTTTTAGTTAGGTACTTCCATTGTGACTATACCTCCTTATTCTCCATATTTAGTTCAATAATTTCTAGTTGATTCTTAATGAGTTGACATGCCTTACTCTTAATATTCTGCACAAATCCATAAGATGTGTAATTTGGTAGAATACTTTCATTGTTTTAATAAAATGAAATCAGAATATGCATATCAACTTCAAGACGTTTGGAAGCGAACAAGAAATGGTCCTTGTTTCTGAATGAGGGGATAGAGACGACCGTGATCATTTTCTCTGTTCATAACCCTCTTCCATAATTTGTTCCTTGGGTTTGTGTAGGATACTTCAATTATTCATTTCTTGTTAAATTATTTAGCAGAATGTGCTTTTGTCGGTCTATCAAAATACATGGTTGACTCATTTATAGTTCATCCACCAACTCCTATATGAAATGATCAACTAAATGCTGAAGTGTCGTAAGTCATTCATTTCCTCAAATATTTAGAAGAGATTATTATATACTCACCTGTGAATGTGTTTCGTGTTGACAAATATCCAAGGGACTAAGGGATGGCCTTTCGTTATGCTTTGAATCCGTTGAAGTTGTAGTACCCAATACCTCTGAACCAGGATCTTTCTCAATGAATTCCATCTTTGGTTTTTCATTAATCTGAGCAAGCCAAAATATACTAGATAAATGAGAAGCTCAATAATTTGACAATTTTAACAAATTAACGAAGTTATAAATAACAAGGTTTTCTTTTTCGAATTAGTTAATTGAATCATAACAAATGGAGACAAGATGCAACGAACAATAAGACATTTGCTGTTGTCAAACTTTAAAGAAGTAATTTATGAGTTACTAAATTTTATACCATTATCATTTGATTGATTGCATTAGGTTGGTTCTAACCTGCGATGAAGGCAACTCAGTGCTAGAATCTTTATCTAAGTTTCTAATCAACTCGTCGAAGTACCACCGTCGTAGTTCAGTGTTTTCGAAATCTGTAACAAAAACAATATAAATAAAGGACTTCGTTCGACATTGAAACACAAACGAAAAAGGCAAATACAATCTCAAGTTTCCATGGTGGATCATTATATCATCACAATTAAAAATAAAAAAAGATTTACAAAGTTTCATAATAGGATTTTTTTTATCAATCATTAAAAAAATAAAAAAATTGGTGACTCTATATCTAAGAGACCAATTTCTTTATAACGGTGTTCTTCATAATTAAATTTATTAAAGGTTAAAATTAAAAGATCTTGTAGGAAAAAATAATTTAATGTGTTTAATTTTAGAAAACTCTTGTGAATACTTTTCTGTATGTGTTTGGTTGGAAATTTGAAGCCCTCCTCTCTGAGTGAAATAGTTAATTTGCAAAAATATTTTCTTTAGGTGCAACGAGGAAACACGATTTGTTTGACAATTGAGGAACGATTTGCCTGAAACCATGCCAGTAGCACATGCAGAACATATTTCAAATGTGATCATATTCTATGAACGATTAAGAAGTAAACTCTTAAGAAGAGTTAACCTAATGTAAAAAATAATATTAAAATATCTAATAATATATATATATATATATATATATATATATATATATATATAAACATAATATATTAATACAATATTAATAATTAAATATTTCCACATCAAAACAAAGAAAAATAACAAATCATAATTAATAATAAAGTGATACTACACTAGTGCTAAATAACATATCAAACTATATAGATAACTAAATCATAAAAATTTAAGTCTAATAAAATGTTGCCGACATCGTAGGCAAAGTAGAGTAAAAGATTACATCTGATTTCAAACTAGTAGTTCTTAACTAAAAGAGTTTATCACGAGTTTAAAGAGTTTATTAAAAAACGAATTTGATAATGAATTAACTAAAAAGAGTTTAAGGGATAACCCGAGAGTTTTACAATCTTGAATGAGCAGTTTATATGAAAGACTCCATGGAACCATATCATAATCATACAACATATCCATGTATGGTACTTACCTTTATAAGGAAATTTTTCACGGAGCTTCACAAGAGTAGTTGTTGAAGTCAATGAGAGTTTTGGACATTCGTTGACAATGCAATTCTTCACACTCAACAATTCAATCTCTTGGAGAAAGTTTGGAAGATGCATAAATATTATAAGTTTCAGTCTTGGAAGCTCGACTTTAGTCTTTCCTTTCTCGTCACCTCCAATAAGCTCTTCCAGTTCAGACGCTCCACTTATGATCAAAAGTCGTAGATTGTGAAGGTCATTAGATGCAGATCCAGAGAAAAATCTTTTCAACTTGTGGCATTGTTCAACAAGCAACGCTTCTAGTCCTGGGAAGCATGGTTGAGGAGAAAGAAGATTAGACAACTTTTTATCCCCCACATCCTCTTCGATGATTTGTCTTAATTCTTTGCATTCTTTTATCTCCAGACAATTCAACTCTGGTAGGCATCTTAAAACAAACTTTGGAAAGATCACTTCCAATTTTGTACATCCAATTATTTCTAATTTTTTAAGATTTGGGAAGCTAAAATAATTATTTGAAGCCCCTTGTTCACATCCAATAATCTCTTCGAGTTCAGAGGCTCCATTTATAGTTAAAAACTTCAGGTTAGGAAGATCATTAGATGAAGATAACAAACGTTTCAATTTGTGGCATTCCGCAACGAACAACCTTACTAGTTTTGGGAAGCATGGCTGTGTAGAAAGAAGATTGGACAATTTTTTATTGTCCGCGTCCTCTTCCATGATCTGCTTTAATTCCATGCATTCTCTTATGTCAAGGGACTCCAACTCTGGTAAGCTTCTTAAAATAGAGGGAGGGAAGATTACTTCCAATTTTGCACATCCCACTATTTCTAATCTGATAAGATGTTGGAGGGTAACTGAATTCTTGGAAGCCAGCCAAATATAAGTCATTTGAGGTAGATTTCGCAACAGCAAATTTTCTAACCTTAAACTCACTTGTTGTCCAATCATTCGATGTCCATTAAGACAAAAAACATCTTCTACTTCAGCATTCGTTATGTGTAGAGTTTGCAAAGTGAGGAAATTGGTCTGAATCCCTTTTGGATCCTACAGAACATTAATAAGAAATGTAAAAAAATCCAAATAGAGAAAACATACAGGAAAAAATAACTAACAATTATAAACATAAAGGATACCTTCCTACTTGTGCTAATAGGCTCTCTTGAATCCATAGGAACTGTCAAACAACTAATAGAATCATTAAAAGGATAGGAACATCCATCACACACAAGCTTCTTCAAAGATGGCCATGTCACAGAGAGATTGTTAGTAGCACAAAAGCTAACAAAATTTGGTAGGTTATGAAGAGAGAGTGTTTCCAGTGCCGGGAAATGAATATGAATCTCCTTATAATCCTGATTAGCTACGGGATATTGGCCAAGCATATATTCCAATTGGCCACAATCACGTACTGAGAAGTGTCTTAAGTTTGGGAAGATAGCATTCAAATTCTCTTTGTCATATTCATCATTAGTGTTTATAATGTGCTCAAGTCCAGGACATTTCTCAATTGTCAAAAATTCCAACATCAATGAAGAAGCAACGGATAACTTAAAAAGGTACTTTACCTTATCAAAGCCTTTCAATTTAATATCTTTAATATTCTTCATAATAAGCAAGTTCAAACCTTGTGGTTGTTTTGGAAGATCTTGAGCACTTTCCACTGAGTGAATAGAATCCGAGTTTGATATCTGCAATTAATACACCAATGTACTTCTTAAACCAAACTAAATAGTATCTTGACTTTAATTATCAATGCATTCCATTTCTAACATATTCGTCTAAATTAAAATTTTAGGAAATAAAACTAATTTTTTAGATTCACTAGTTTCTTTAAGAAAATAATTTGTTTTTGTCTAGTGTAACGACAGAAAGTTGAAAAGAAAATTATTTTCCAAAAATAATCTTCTCCAATTAATCTATATCAATAGTTATGAATGAATATTAATATTGTTGGGTATGTAAGATTTAGGATATTTTGAGGAGACTAACAGTAGAGATTCTCACAAATAGAATTCAAGTTAACCATATACGAGAATATGACACTATTTTCAATAAAAAATCTTAAAATATTAAATTATGAGTCATACTTCCTTATATGTTATTCAACTCTCTCATTCATGAGACTTAACTCACATTTAAATTATCTAACAAACACAGGGTTATGGATAACCATACCTTGATTGCAATATAATCCCCGAGTGTAGCATTCGAAGCATCTGTTGAACACTTTGTAGTGAAAAACCCAACATATCTCCCAATACCAAATGATAGTGTTCTCAAAGATGGACATCTCACATGATTACTGTCTAGAATGATACTATCCAGGTTATCATCTAGTACGAGAACTTCTAAGGCTGGAAGCTCAATCGGAGTATTATTTTGTTGTTGGTGACAAGAATTGTCTTCAAAATTATTTGGACTTGAAAAATCATTCAAATCAACAGCCTCTTTATTTCTTATATCATTCAAATTCGTCATACCTCCAACAAAAGAGACAGGGAGTATACGTTGCAATAATTCACATCTACTAATATGTAGCTTTTTCAAACTTTGGAAGATTGAAATATCACTTTGAAAGTCATGATCAACCTCAGCAATGTTTTCCTTCTGATTTTTTCTTACTCTTTCATGAGCTACTATATGCTCCAAACTATGGCAGTCTTCTATGAACAATTCTTCCAAAGAAATGACGATCTTAGTTGTAGATGCTGTGAATATTGAGCCCAACTTAGGACAATGTATTATCCTAAGGGTTGCAAGGCTGGATAGAGTTCCTAAAAGGTAAATTATAAATAAGAGAAAGAGTGTTCAGCGTATTAGAGTTTATATGTGTACCAGTTACATTCTCCTTTTTGAAACATTGGTTTCCAAGGACTAAAAACACAATCCTAAGCATCAAATAATCGGTTAATAAGATCAAAGGAATCATATTGGACAATTTTCATTAAATAATTTTAAATTAACAAGTTATTGGCTGAGATAAATACCACTGGTAATGTATCAACAAGTTATTGGTCAAACTAAATTCAATTTTTTAGGTAATGTATCCAGTTCGGACATTATAAATTATGAATGAAGAATAATGATCAGATTAAGCTTAAAGTTTTCAGATGTAACTTATAAATAATTTTTAATCCAAAACATTGTTACAAATTTTGATTAAGTAGGCGTTAAAAATTGAATCAATAGAAAAAACAAAAAACAAAAACCGATAAAAAATTAAAAAAAAATCAAAATTATTTTTTTTAATCCACTTTTTTCTAAACGGCAGTGTTATTTGGTTAGATTAAAAATTAAAAACGGAACTAAATGATTATTATATTTAAATATAATATTAAATGTTTAAAATCAATTATTAATTAATAAATACGTGTTATTTTATAATATAGTTATATTTTCTTTACAATATATTTATAATTATTAATATATTATAATAATTTTTTATTATAATTTTTAATTATAAGATTTTATAATTAATTTATAAATATAAAAGAATTAAAATTAGAAATATAAAAATAATCATATAATAAAAATGATGTAATATATTTTTTATTGAGAATTTTTTATTATAAATTATTTAATAATTTATAATAAAAATAATAAAATCGATTTGATTTAAATTTTATATTAAATTAAAATCGAATTAAATCGATCTTATTTTTATATTTGATTTGAATGATTATTTAATAAAAATTTACCAAAACCGAATGCAAATATTCCTAATAAGCAATAACATTTATACTTATTAGTCCACGCTTAAACATATTTAGGAATGCAAAAAGAAAGATGTACCTGAGCTATGCTTCACAACTGTTGTTGATGGAATTGAAGTGCTTTCTGGGAAAACATCCAATTGATTAGACTCAAGATGGGGATTATACAAAGGTGGATGCTTACCTTCCTCAATTATTTCATCAAGTTCTTTTCCATCCTGGTCTGCTGATGGAACAATATCTCCAATTATTTGATCTAGCATGTCACATTTTTCTATCTTGAGCACTTTCAATTGAGTTAAGCCTCCTACAATGCTGGCTGAGAATATATGTTTTAATTGTGTACATTCTCTTACCTCTACTTCTTCAAGATTCTGGAAGATTACGATTTGTACAAGATTCCCACTTGTAAATTCATCATGCCTTTTCTCCGTTTTGTCATCAACTGCTAATATATGCTTCAGTCCATCACATCTTGATATTTTTAATGTTTTCAATTGAACTAAACTTCGAGCAACAGAGTATGTGAAGAGAGATGTGAACCCTGGACAATCACTTAAATATAGCTTTTCTAAGTTCTCAAATGGCCCATTGACAGGTAGAAAACCTTGCCATAAAGCTCTTAGATGTTTCATCTTACCAATTCTCAGCGTATTCAACTTGGAGAAAGGGGTTGTCACCTCACTCAAATGATTACTAGTGTCAATCAAACACTCTATCTTTTCAGAACTGCGTATCTCTAGCTTATTCACCTCGTTCATACCTCCTCCTTCAATTTCAAATATATCAGGAACGATATTTTTTACACTTCCCTGAATATTTGCTAGAAATAGATCCTTTGCTTTTTTTGCCAAACCCTTAATTACCTCATTTGATATCTGAAAAAAGTTTAGCAATAAGGTTCTCTGATGAGAACAAAATTCTTCTTCATCATATTCATAAAAATTATCGGATCCTAATACAATTCCATACCTTTGCAGTGTTTGAGGGACACTAAATGTGTCAAAGAATTCAATAGTGTCTTCGCTGTCAACTTCCCATTCTCCTTCAATATCAACAATGTACAACTCTTCTAGTAGTGGAGTTCTTTTGATCACTTCAAAATTCTTCCCTTTAATATCACATTTATTCAACTCTAGCAATTTTAATGTTGTTAGTTGTGTAACTGCAACATCGGTTTGTAATTCAAGGAATGAAGGCAACGAACAACAATTCAACGAAAGACTTTGAAGTTTCTTCATATCTCTTACAAATGAGAAATCGCTCAATTCACAATTGAAAAGGATTAGACAACGGAGATTTGTTAATGTTTTGAAAGACATGGTTGATAATGGTAGTTTTTCCTTCTTTTGATTGACAAGAATCAAAACTCTGACCATTCCCATTCTTTCGAAAATTCTATCTAAATCTTCCAACTTCAGTATGCATAAAAACTCAAGATTGGAACAGTCCAAATCATTTGGAAATTTCTCACACCATAGATATGTTACTGGATTTTGGTCCAAAGTCACATCTTTTTCTATTTCGCACTTTATGACCTTATTCTCACTCTTTGCTATCAAGTGGGCTACATCACGAACTATGTCATGCACTTTGACACATTCTTCATCATCATCATTGTTATGATCCAACAATAAACAAGAACTTACGAGCTTAATTTTAGCTGCAATCACTTCAATCCTTGCCTCTTCATATGAGTGAGTTTCGCCAACTACACCTAAGCCTATTGCACATCTGGTTAAAAGTTCAAGTGGTATTTCAGAATCTTCAGGGAATACAGAACATAACAGGAAAAGTGATTTAGCTTCTTTAGTATCCAAATTATCATAGCTCAATTGCAAGCACTTGTAAGGATCAGTCAAACCTCTTTCAATATTTATTGGCTTAGAACTTCTCAATTTATTCAATGCAACACTCCATATTGATTCAGCTTTTCCTTTCAAACTACAAGCAACCGCTGCAATGGCAACAGGCAACCCTTTACACTCATCAGAAATTAATCTTGCCAAATGCTTTATGGTATTAGGGGTATCTTCAGATATAAGTGCTTTATTTTGAAAAAGAGTCCATGCTTCTACATCCGTTAAAATTGGCAAGTAAATCTTTCTTTGACAATCCATTGAAGTACAAACTTCTTCTGATCTAGTGGTAATGAGAATCTTGCAACCTTCATGGTGTTCAGAGGAGGGAATCCCAATGCGGCCAAAGTCAAGCTTCTCCCACACATCATCTAAAATCAGAAGAATATTCTTTTCTTGGGTTAATCTCAAGCACAATCGTTGGGCTCTCTCCATTTCTTCATTTTCTGGAAATGTATACTGCATTGAACTTGCAATCTTTTCTTGGATCCTTCGAACATCCACTGTACTAGACACAGGCACAAAAAGAACTTTGTAAAAAAGATGTTCTGCTTCTGCTAACTTCCTAACTTCCATTGCTAATGTGGTTTTACCACAACCCCCCATCCCATACAACCCAATCATGGCAACATCATCACTTTTCACTGCTTCCAGTAGTTGCTCATATGCAGATTGTCTACTCTCAAAATTCATGCATTTTTCGGAGAGAATATCAAGGATGCCTGAAGGAAGTGTAGCAATGCGGTCCAATGGTACATATTTTCTACCCTCTTCAATGAACTTTTCAAGGTCCACAGTTTTATTTGCTAACTTTTTTCCCACACGGTATCGCCAAATCCAATTTGGACAGTGCCCAAGGCAACAAATCTTTTTTGTTCTTGCCTCTTTCAGCAGTTGATTCACATTGTCAACGTCACTGTTAGCATTTTCCAACCACGTATCAACAAGTTCACTAGTCTTTCTCGTTTGTCTCTTGGCATGTTCAACAAACTTTTTGACACCATCTCTAGTTACAATCAAATCGTCCTCTTCTTTCTCAAGTTTTCTTATGAAATTGTTAAAACAGCAAGGATAACGTAATTGATTTAATGCTCCACACACTAAATCTCTCGTAACAGAAGATGCAAAACCATAGAGGCACTCCATCAATTTGTTCCACCAAATGTAATTTTCTTTTTAACCTGAAAGATAAACCTAAATTTTATAATTATATTTAGATATATAGATAAAAAAATATTTTAAGATCATTTGTTACATCTTATAGTACATCACTTTCCAAAGTAAAATTACAGAAAAAAAAATGAAGCTATGTGTAGTAATTAGATTTATCTTAAATAGTCAATTATTGGATACACAATAAAAATAAAAACAAAAATTTAATAACTTAAATAATTATTTTTAAAATTTTATATTTTTTAAATATTATTTTTATTAATTTTGTAAAAGTTAAACAGAATAATTTGGTTCCTAAAAAAATATGGAGAATTTAATTTGATTTTAAAATATAAATAAATTAAAATAATTTTTTTACAAATACTATTAGTCTTTTATTTTATTCAAATATTTACATGGTATCCCTAAAATGTAATTTAGTTTCTCCGTTATTATTAAAATATAATTTATTCAAGACTAAATTACTTTTTAATTTTAATAGGTAAGGATTTACTTAAAATAAATGACAAATATAAAAAAATAGTTTTAAATTTTTATTTATTTATTTATTTATTAACATATATAAAATAACTAAAACATATATATACTTTCACTAATAATTTTTAGATAATTTTAAAAAAGTTTTATCCTCCCTAAAAAAAATTTCAACATGTACTTAAATGAAACACAAGTTTGTAGTTCAAAAGAATTGTTAATTAGGAAAAAAATATATATATACCAGTAAACAAAATTTTTAACCAAAACTTGAACTAAAAGATGTATTGTATATAAAATTAAACTCATTATATATTTTTTCTAACTTTAATTTTTAATATTTATTTAAATTATGGCAATACGTTTTACGTAAAATTTGCAAATAGGAAATGAGCAAAAATACGTATTTCTTTAAAATTTTAGTTGTTATAGAAGGAATTAAGTTATTATATGACTTAGTGTGCAACAAGAATTCAGCACTTCAGAAAAAAAAATAAAACACTTTGTAAACAAGTTATACAAAACTGTACTTTCAACTCTTCATCCCTTCTTACTTAATCAAAATAAGCTTAATCAATTGGATTATTAAGACATAAGTGGTCCAAATTTTATTACTTAAATTAAATCAAACTTATATTAGTCTTTATATGATTGATCAATTTTATAAAATAATAAATATTTTAAATAAAAAAATAATATTATTTTATTAATATATATATATATATTATATAAATTAATTTGATAAATAATTTATTTTTTAAGAATAAATATTAAAATAAATTTTTTATAATAATAATGAAAAGTAAAATTTTAACTCCTATTTCAAATTAAATAAAATAATTATTTTATAATTTATATATTAAATAATTATATCTTAAATAAAAAATAATTTTATTAATATAATATAAGTTTTAAAAATATATTTTGTTTTTAATTTATATTTAAATATTTTTTTAATTAATTATTTTAATATTAATACATAAATAATTTTTTATTTTATTTTCAATTAAACCTAAATGAGTTTATTTATTTCTTAGTCTATCTCAGAATTAATGTAAACTAAAAATTATAATTTATTTTAAAATATAAATAAGAATAAACCAATCATTTGTTTGTGCACTTCTACTAAAAATTTCCATTCATATAGTACACTTTGAATTCTTATATATAATTCAATTTTCATTTTTGTATTTATTTTACATTTAAAAATGTTCACTTTAATTCCTTATTTTATTAGATCAAATTAGTTTTTTCCATCACTTTAATATCAATACTGGACATTTTCAGAATTAGTCATGTTATCACATATCCTCAAATTGACTAAATTTTAGTATGTCAAGCAAACAAAAGTATCAATTTGGTCTAATAAAAAATTAAAAAAAAAATCAAAATGAAACTTCTAAATTTTAGAACTAAACTAAAATCTGGATAATGGATCAGAATTATATTTTGGTAAATAATTAAAATTATGATAAATAGAAACCATTAAATAATAAAACTCATAGATTTATCAGTTATAATAAATGAGTGTAAATTTTTTTTTGAATAGCATTCCGCTTGTTAAAAATTTTGGTTGTCTCTTTTCTTTCTGTTTTTTTTTTACTAATAAAACAAACTACGAGAAAAAAATAAAAAGTAAAATTACTTATGCTTGTATTTTAATTTCAAATAATCCACCTTATACTGTTTATTATGCCTAATAAGAGTTTGTTCATTTTTCGCCCCTCTCTCTGCTCTTATTATACATTGATACTTATTTTTATTTTAACACGCATCTTATTAAAAATAGCTGGTGTAAGTGTAATTTAAATTAAATCAAAATATGTCATTGTATTTTACTCATCTCTTTATTATTCATACGTGATTTGATTTATAATAAAAACTTTCATTGTTAAATATACTCCTCTTCTACATGGACAAAATGCATAAAAAAAAATTTAAAAGTCAGCACCATTAACACAATATCAGAAAACAATCTTCAAAAAGGTCATTCGAAAACACCTTGGACAAATGGACAATATAGTTTTAAATGATATTATATTTATTGTGAAAAAACTAAATTTTTTTTATAAAAAATATCTTTTTTAAAATTAATTTCTGGAATATTTTTTTTGTGGAAAACTAAGATACGTTATAAAATTTAGTTTTTATAAAACTAAAAAAAAAAGTGATTGGATATGATTTGTCTTTTTTTTTATTTCACTTATTTATCTTTTCTTTGACGAAGTTAAGGTTTCAATTTTTCTCTCACTTTTTCGTAATAATATTATAAATTACTTTAAAACAAAACAAAACAAATAGATCAAGTGAAGAAAGACAAAAGAAAAGAGTGAATTTCTTTAAATTTGGTCCTAATTCATGGGGGAAATGAGAAAGATGCAGTAATTGGTGTTCTTATCCATAAGAACAAGCAGATCCAGTAACCTTGAGACTGAACATGCTCACCATTGATTAGGATTGAATATCAGCAAAGATAGTAAAGCTTACATTACCTCCTTCAATAGAGTTGGTCAGAAACAAACTAGTGTTTATCCATCACTTCATCTGAGACGTTCAGTTATGCACAAACTCAAACACTCGATCTGCATATTCAATCGAAAAGGAAACTATAAGAACATGGAACACAAACTCAAACACTTGATCTGCATATTCAATCGAAAAGGAAACGAAAAGAACATGGAATACAGAACGCCAAAATTTAAAATGAAACCAAAAGTCAACGTCACACTAATAGTACCTCGAGAGAAATGAATGCACTCCATTGCTTGAATTGGCAAGAGAATCCTCACACTCACCTTGGCCACTGCTGCGAAAGATACTGGTGTTAGTCTTCGTCTTCTGAAGTCTTGGTCGCTTTTTATCAATTTTTTATAATTACTGTGTGCATTATTGAGGGTGCTTTTCGGCCACAATCATTAACTAATACTTTCATAAAATTATAATTACCAAATTATCCTTTTAAATCCTTTATATTTTTCCAAAAATTTTACATTAAAAATGTTTTGTTAATGCATTTTATAAAAATTGAAATGATAATTTTAAAATATAAATAATTCAGAATTAATTATTTTGTATTCTCCGTTCTAAAGTAGATATAATAAGATTTTATCATTGAAAAAAGAAATTATTATTTTTAAATGTAAGCCGGGTCCGTTCCCCACTTTCTTAATGATTTTCTCCAAATTTTTTACCACTTAAAAATGAGCAAGAATTTTCTCATCTCAAACCAGTATAGAAGAATCTTGATTCCATTATGAAAGAATCTTGATTTCTTTATACAGTTACCCTTTAAGCTTAATGAAGATGTCAATCCAACCAAGGTCACTCACCCAGAAATGTCTACATCATACCTACAGCTAGTAAGACAAGAGTGTCAGGAACTGTTGAAACAAGGTCTGATCGAACCAACCCAATCCAATTGGTATCAGAAGGGGTTTCTGTCCGAAATGATATCAGAGCCTAACCATTTTTCAGAATGGGGTATGATAGTAGGAATTATGAGTGGAAAGTAAGTAAGAGAAACCTTTAAACATGAATAATAGCCAAACACCACCGTCAGAGTTCGGTCCCGTCTTGTTAAACTCAACTCTTTCTCTTCCCAAAAATATTTCAAAAACTCTTCCTTCAAAAATAGAAAATCTTATAGAATATTCCTATATTCCAGAAGATGCTCAGATCTCTGAGACGTATAGTCTTCTCCTTAGTCCTTATAATATTTTTAAGAGACAAAGATCTACTCTTAAATTTATTAATCGCCTTCTCTCCACCAAAAGACCTCATGTCAAGGAGTACGTCCAATCCTCCAAGATGGACCAGTGTGTCTTAGCATCCACCACAGAAGAACAATATGTCAATATTGAGATTCCCAAAGATCTCATTAGACATTGGCAAACTGAAGGTTACACTCATCTCCATTATGGAGCAATCCGACTTGTCCTCTCTCTCCACGGAAGACGGGGATTACCTGTCTCAGCCAGAGTCTCTCTCTTAGACTAGCTACCTTCATTATGAACATGTCGTTATCGGTACTGTACTAACTATTCTTCATGCTGGAAGTGTAGTTTTCACCATCTTCCCAAACTTCAACGTTAGTTTGAAGGATCCTACAATCTCCCAGAGATTGAAGGTTCAGATCCAGATTACTGGAGCTGAGCAAGTAGCTAATGCACTATGGGCTACTCTTCATCATCAAATCATATATAGGCTGCAAGATCATGCGATAAATCTTGCGCTACCATCCTGCAAAGATGGAGCACTATTCATCTTGACTAATAACCAAGATGAGACACATTTCATAGTTCAAATCCCCAGAAATATCTCTTCACAAGAGCTTCATAAGCTTATTCCGATGCAGTGGGTAACTAACTATGAGAAGCTCCACAGTAACCAGAAACCCATCCAGTTCACAGAAGCAACATTCAGAAGATCTGTGGATGGAAATGTTATAACTATCTTCAAGAATCCAGAAGAAGCTCCTAGTTCCAGCACCTTTATTTTTC